AGAAAATGCTGCCTGCTAGAAGAAAAACATAAATATATAAAAAAGTTAATTGATGCTATAAATGACATCAGCTATGGGTCAGCAAGGTGATCTTATTACTGAACACTGACATCTTTGGTATTAACTTCACAACAGTGCTTAATCAATTAACGCTACGCATAAGGACAAAATAGGCAAGAATTTCAATGTCACAGCAGGGAACAAAGAGAAATGACAAGCAGGAAGACAGCATCTTAGTGGAAAAGCAAAGACAAAGAAAAAACCCCCCAGCCCTGCTAATTTTACGAGGGTTTTTTAATTATTTATGCAGCGTCTGGTAAGTACCTGGGTCTTCGTCAACTTTCCTTGAATAGACTGTTTCCCCGGTTCCCACCACCACATGCACAGCTACTGAAGCACAAAAGTGTTTCAAAAATAGGGAAACAACTATAAAACTTTATACTCTAGTAAGGTGGTTCCTGATGCAGCTTCATTTAAATTTTCTTTTTTCATTTTTTTTTCTACAGTTGAGGTAGATACGGATAATTTTTATGTGAGTACTAAAACATCAATTCATAGCTGTATTTTAACAGCACTCGTGAGGAAGCTCAGCTTGCAAGAAACATACTCAAATGACTGCAGAAACAACCTCTTGGTCAACACATGAAGAACCTATTTATGGTACAGTACATTTTACCCTTATTAGCCTGTATAGACAGTGCAATTTCAGAGTTGTGAGTCAGTGGAAGTCTCTTTCCTTTTCCAATGAGCTCTCTATTAACAAAAGTTCCATTTGCACTGTGGTCTTCAATGTAGGCAACGTAGGAATTTTTTGGACCCATTTCCTTAAAGAGAAAAAAAAATGGGAAAGATAACAGTAGGGAAAAAATGACTTTACTGTAAAGGCATGACAGACTATAGAAATTTACTATTGTTGGCTCAGGAAATCAGATTACTGAGGTTATTTGATAAACCGGGTTAATGGAGCGTTGCCAAGAGTCTTGTTAAAGGAGTCAACACTGAAGGTACTTAAACTTTGATTTCTTTAGGATCCGCCCCCGCCAAAGTCAATCTTTTTCAGTTATGCCAAAACAGAAAAAGACAGTTAAACTTTTTAGCACCTACCCTGAAAATTCGGAAATGCTTCTTGCTATAGTTTTGGTAGAAGCCAGTCTCAGACAGTCCTAGCTTAGAAAAACTATAATCACAGCTTTTGTCTCTTCCAAACCAATATTCATCATTCACGCAGTCTGTAGAGGAGGGGGAAGTAAAGCAGAGAGAGAACACAAAAATTGCAGGAAGTTATTAACTATGGCACTACGGAATGATGCCAGATGGTAGCGAGTAGGACAACAAAGACAAGATTCTTCCTACACAATCGAGTTTATGTGTCTTAATTCAGACAAAGCACCATGCACTGTCAACACCTTCTACAATATTTTAATAATTTTACCCTTTTAGTAATAGTAGAGTTTTCAGTTCACTTTCAGCAATACAGAGACTCATATGATACATAAACAAAATAAATTATGAAATGGAAAAATGAAGCAAGTAACAAAGAACACGAATACCCCAGAATTCCTCTAAGTCTGTGGAAGCTGTGTATCTGGGTACTCAGCGTAAATGCTGGGATGTAGTACGGAATAGATTATTGCAAAAGTTGCAAGCTTGTACTTAAATTTGCTTGTACTCAATTTGAAAATGAAGACACTGCTTTTTACCAAGCTGCTCAAATCTGTTCTGAGGTACTACAAATGAACCATGAGGCTTATTACAATATGCACATACCACAATTGCTGAAACCTTTTCCAAGTGCAAAGAGTCGACCCCAAGGCTGAGAAACAAGCTCTTCAGATTCCTGGTCCTCGGGGATCGATGGAAGCTCCTGAGTGGGAACAGTGTCCAAAGAACTGAGGGTCCCAGAACTTGAGGAAGACTGACTAGTACTCTGTGACCCACTGGAAGAGGAACTGGTACCACCCTGTGACTGTTGGACACCTTGAGACTGCTGCGCTTGACTTCCAGTCTCTCGAGACATGTTGGCTTCAAAGAGAGTGTTAAAAAAACCAGTTACCTCAGCAAAGTAAAACTGACAAACACACCCCATACTATTAATATCCAAGTCTATTCTCAGTCTTCAATTAAGTCAAACTTTCAACCAAAGTGTGCATGTGTGGATTATGTGTAAATCCCTAAGAATTTTGCAAACCGTGATGTTTTTCCTTTTAATAAAAGGATGTGGTGCTCCCCCTACTGGTTCTAAAACAACAGTTACACCTTATTCCCGGATTTTTACTTGCGCTCTTCAGGGCTCACACTTTATTTCACAAACGTGCGTGCAGCCCTCTCTGACAAAGCATCCCCACACAAAGCAGTAACTGTTGCAGCTCCCCAAACACAAAGGGAAAAACTGAAAAAGGAAAAATAAGAACTATAAAATGAAGTACGTTTTCTTGACGCTGAAAGCACCCAACAGATTTATCACGCAGCAAGCCAATTTGGTGTTTTGGCTGAATATTCCTTTAATATAGGTTATAACTCACGGATTTTCACATATCTCTTCCACGCAGCTTCTATTCAGCAATTTTATTTACAAAATCGCCACACTTATACATAATTAACGTACAAAACTCTGCCAAACCCAAAGATACGCACCACACCCCTAGCACCTGCTATCAAAGACAGCAGCAAGAAAAGGCAACAAACGGCATCTACCTGCCCTGTTAAGACAGGGGAGTTTACAGCGGTATCGTGCTGTCCTCCCCACTTAAGGAGGAAACAATCCACTGGCCACCTCATCTTTAGCTGTCTTTCTCCAACAGCATCTGTGTTCATCGTGCCCAGGGGCTACTATAGCGTCCGTGAGCCTTCCCAGGGTCGCTGCCATCCTTTGGGACCACCTGCGCTCACCTGTCTGCTTGCCGTCTTGGTTTGCCGGTGTATCTTGCTTTTTAAGCTGGTTGCCATCCAGCTCAGTGTATAATCCAGACTAATTCAAATCTCCCTACCAGTTTGCTGCTTTTCGTTATTAGCCATAAAAAAGCAACAGCGCCCTAGTTTGCCGGTGTATCTTGCTTTTTAAGCTGGTTGCCATCCAGCTCAGTGTATAATCCAGACTAATTCAAATCTCCCTACCAGTTTGCTGCTTTTCGTTATTAGCCATAAAAAAGCAACAGCGCCCTAGCTACTTTCTGTGTCGCTTATTTTCCCTCAGAGGCGTTCAGAAACGCGGGCAAGGCCCGCAAGCTGCCAGGGAGGCAGCCC